CACACACACACACACACACACACACACACACACAGAAACACACACAAGTGGACTTGATAGAAGGGACTGCATCTTCTTCACCGTTTGAATTCTTGATCACTAAGTGCTCATTCCATCTAATGGTTGGTGCTAAATTTATATTTGTTGGATTAAAAAAATGAAAAAATGAACGTCTATCTCCAATGTAACTCTCTGGCACAGTATTTTGTCTTCTTTCCTGTCATCCCTCAGCTTGATGTTTAAGGCCCTCTGTAATCTGTTGCTAGCCTCATAGGCCCTTTGGCCCCAGTATTAACCTTTTAAGGATCTCCTGTCTCTTCTTTCCCCACTCCTGGAATAGTTTTCCCATCGTCTTTGCTTACGGCAAATCTTACACATCTTTCGAGGTTCAGGTTAAGTCCCTCATACTTTTGATAACGCCGATCTGAAGTTTGGGCTCTCTGAACTCGGGAAGCACCCCACACTGCCTGTAACATTTTTGTTAATTAATTATGCAGCGCTGGGTGGCTTCTGTTGTTCTCCTGACTCATCATTTAAATGTTACTTGTGTTTTGGACTCATTTTGTCGACTATAAAGCAGGTCTTTAAGGCCCAAACCAAGCTTTTGGCATCTCTGTCCAGTATCTAGCTGCACAGTGAGTGGAGAGGCAGCACCTGCTAAGAGCATAATGTATTCAGGGTTAAGGGTCTTTTTTTTTCAAAAGTTGAATCCCTTTCCACGCTCATATATTTGTGGATAACTCCATATATATATTTGAGCAGTTTTAATTTAAATACTTAATAAAGCTATCAATTTTAACAAGAATAACTTCATCACCTCTCATCAACAATTCAGAAATACCCGCTATTCAAATGACTCAGTGTAGGTACTGGTACAGGTTTTAAAAGGCTGTGTTATAGTTTCACAGTAATGGTGTTGATTACTATCACTAGAGTACTAGGTGAGAAAACTTGCCTGCTTTTCTGAAAAATAAGCAAAAGTCCTTCTTATCCAATTAAGATTAACTGCAAACCTACAACAGAGATTTCCCAGATAAGTTTGTAAGTTTAACTCTGTGCATAATTTGAAATGTCTTCTCTTTTTAAACTTAAAAAAAATCTTTTAAGATTCAAATTTAAAACAAAATATTAGCTTAGTGGGTTCATGTTGGTGGAGTACTTAATAAACAAAATCTCCCTTTGATTTGTAAACAGATTAAGTACTTCATCCAGCATATAAATATTTTTTACTGCTCTTTATATTTGTTCTATCAAGGCTCATGGTAAATTAAATGTAATCTAAGTCAGCCAAAGCATGCCCTAATTTGGGACATATTTTTAATTTTATTAAAATACAGGTTTTGGGGGCAGGGTTTCAGTTGGTTTGTCCTTAATCCTGTGATTACACAGATGACTATAATTACACTTCATTTTGTTATTATACTATATTTATAATGTAATTATTTCGGCTCCTTTTCATCAAAATCTAAATATGACCTGAAAATATTGAGTCTAAAACATTAATGTCCTGAATTGAAGCTAAAAGATTTGTTTGCATTTTTATATTTGAAATTCATATAAAACTTACTGAATGAGACAGTCACATCAAAGGTACTGAATGTTATAGTACAGGGACATTTCCTTAACTACTTTGCATTTGTTGATACTTTGAGAACTACTTAATATCTGGACTCACATAACAAGAGACACCTCCCATAACCTTCTGATAATCAAAAATCATTTGAATAAGATGGAGAGGAAAGAGTGGTTTGGGAGAAAGTTACCTACCCAGGTTTAAATCAACATCCTCATGTAAGCTATTGTGCAGCTTTGAATTAGCATTTGGGTATCATTCTTCATCCTCACTTAGATAATTCAGGGACTTATGCCCTTTTAAGGGACTTCATGTCCTACTCTGACCTACTTGGTAAAGTC